TGCATAAACATACAAAAAGAATGAAAATGACATTGCAAGCACTGCAGAAAAGCACAGCAAAGAAAAAAAAAAAGCCATATTTTTGCTAATTTAATTCTGAAGCCTCAAATGCCCTTTTCATCTTAATTTTTTTCCTTAAGATATTTAAAACTTTAAATACCTCATTCCAGTGTGACATCCAGCTGCCTCAGTCTGAGGCAATTACTGTCTTCCCTGTTCTTTAGATGCATCTCTGGCTCACTGTTGCTGAAATTCTATTAGTCATGAACTGTAAATTTAAGTATGAAACTGTTTATTATAAGAGTCAAACTCCTATCACATCCCTACTGGGCTTACATACTTCTTCCTACTACTAGTCAGCATAAACTTAGTACATGCTAAAGTGGGACTCTAAAGCTAGCATGTATTTTCCCTGATGGGTGCTATTTTGATTCTCACGTGCTTTTCAGTCTGTGAAACCTGACAGGAATTCCCATTTTCTATGCAAGAGTGTGTGGAATCCTACAGGATAAGCTCATGTTATCATTGACTCAACTGAGTGGCACAGCATCAATCCTAGTTGTTCTTGAAGAATGACCATTAGGGTTGGGGTGGTTGGTTTTGGGTTTTGTTTTGTTTTGTTTTTTTTTTGAAGTGGTATCTTCAAGATTGGTAATTCCTTGATTTCAAAGCAGTAACGATAACTTCCTTATCCCTTAAACTGTTGTCACGTAAGCACGAGTCTTTACTGTTCTGTAACCAGAAAATTCTCAGTGTTATACAATTATATCCACCTCTAGAAGACACGCACATACAGTATCATCTACTTTATTCTATGTGGTCTCTAAACATTTGGGTATTTTAAACATCTGTGATGGAGTTGCAGAAGGAGCTTGTAAAAACAAGGAAGAGGAAAGGAAAAAGAAAGCAGCTGCCAAGTTTTCCCCCCTGCGGATGCCATGTCTCAGTTAGCTATGAAATAAAACTTCACCTTTCTTAGCTGATACATCAACGAGTTCCTCCTGGAGGGCCAACAGGCACAAACACTGCAGCAATGTAATCTGTTTTTTCTCAGTACGTGCGTGACTCTTCTCGTCTGCCTGGAACCACCAAGAACTGACAAGGTTCCTAGGAGAATTCTGGCAGAAATGTTTTCAAAAAACATTGACCGCGATGCCAGTGGTGGCTGCTGCGCAGGAAGCCAGCTGTTGGCGTTACATGAGGACAAGGGGACATGCAGGTGTGCACAGACTTATTTATACTTGTGCTATTTGTAATGAAGGCCGTTCTGCAGAAGAGGTGGTGATTGTCTTAAAGCTTCTAATGCCTTAGCTTCAATGTAGTCTCTACTGGTGGTCAGAAAGAATTAATCAGAATAAAAATGAAGACAGACCTTGATTTCCACATTATGTTTTTACTGTAAGCACAAAAAACTCTATAAGTACAGTTGTATTGCTAATTAAAGAGGAACTGTTTTTTTGTTGTTTTTCTCCTTGCATCTCTTGAAAATGATTGAAATAAGAGTTCCCCCTGCTGGTAACCGGCTGAGTCATAAATGGACTCAGGGTTGGGCCTCTGGAGCCAAGAGAAGGTAGAAGAGAGGAAGATAGAATCTCTTCATATCTTCTCAGTCTGACCTTCATGTTTTGCACTTGCAGTGCTTTATTTAAGGCACTTAATAAATTAAGCTCCTACTCAACTGATTTCCAAATTTTTCATTTTGGAAAAGATGTCATTATCACAGCACTACTGCTTGCTTACAGCCAGGGAAATAAAGACAGATCAAGCACACAGGACTAAAAAGAAGAAGGTAGTCGTCTTCATTTAACTAGATTTGCACCCTTCTAATAAACTGGAGAATGTCTAAGAAAAGCAGAGAGACAAAGTGAGTCACAGCAGAACTGGCAAAGCCCAGGCTGCTGGTAGAGAACCTGGGCGCTGTGCTGTAATTCCGTGAAACCTCTATGCTGCTTAGAGCATGTGCTACCACAGAACACTTCCTTCTCTGAATAAGCAAACCATAACTTGCCAGCAGTAGTTAAAGATGCCTTTGCGCAGCCATACCCTAGATGTTATGCAGTATCTAGGCAAACTAGAGTAAGTTCTGTCAACGCTTTGTACGTTACTAATCTCTTGAAGACAGAAAGCCTTTCCTGACACTTCACCAGAAATTCAAGCATTGCCTCTGAAAACAGTTGCACTGTTTATTAAAAAAAAGAAAAAACCCAAAAAGCTATTAAACATAATTATCCCTCTGCAAAAGGTGCTGCCAAGAGGAGCTACCAATTCTAATAGGAAAAAGTAACACGGAGGATAAAAACTATTGGATCCTAACCCATTTCCTTTGGAGTTTACCTGTCTCTATGTAGAGACAGCTCAAGTCAAGCAGGAACGTACACCAAAAGCCACTGGGCAGGCTTCTCAAAATGTGGTAACCGGTCTGTCACCAGGGAGAGGCATTACAGCAATCCTCCTGGCAGCTCCAGGCTGGGGACCTGTTCTGTGGCAGTGTTGTTAAAACTGTCCAAGAAGAAAAGCCAGTGCTGATTTGAAAATAGCTTCTTGAATTGCTTCTGCAGCCTCCTCTGGGATCTCACAGTACGTGAGGTCTGGAGAGAAGACAGCAAGCTGTCCAAGGAAATCCAAAGGATTCAGACTCAAGGTAGGTACAAGAGCTGCCTTTGTTTTAAGAAATTCTTATTGACTAAGAGTCGGAGGTGCAGCAAGAACCAAGCTGGAGCAATACCAAGAGCAGGCTTTTGAGCTAAAGTGGGTCAAGGGAGCCTGCAGCAAACAGGGGAGAGAAAATCTCCTTTATTTTCTTTCTTCTTGGCAGACTGATATTTAAATCTGTGCTCTGAATACAGACAAGTTGAAGATATTGCTAAAGACAGCTCTTCGCTTAGAAAATAGATGCCGGGAAGCTCCCAGCTTCATTCTTTCTGATGGTTGTCTAGGCTGCTGCAGTGCGGGGAGGGGGACAGGCCTGTGGCTTTGAGCAAGAGTTCCCTTGAAACTACGTTGGCTTCTTTTCAATGGTTAAGGAAAAAATTAACACAATCTTTCGGTTTTGGTGGTTTGGTTTTTTTTTTTTAAGACACTGTCTCTCCTAGAGCTACACCCAGACTTGAGGCAAAAGGGGGGGAAGAGTTCAGGAAGAACAGTCTTCCTAGCGTGCACACAGGAGGCAATTTCACTCGAGATGCTGTAAATAAAAAGATCACCGATAACAGACTGACAGCACAGTGGAGAAAGGCTGCTGCTGTCTCAGTCCCTCAATTTCTGATCATGTACTTTCTCAAGAGCTTTAGTCAGTATAGAATTATCGCTAATAAGCAATTCTGCTTCCGTGGAATCAAAATAAGAGTGATTTCCCTTTGATTTGTAGCACACATTCTAGAATAGAGTAGTGGTTTGTAACAGCAATGACTCAAATATTCTTAGCAGGTGACATGTTTGAACAGAAATTCCAAGATTATCACGAGGAAGTGGATGGTTGAGGAAGTGATTTATAATGCATTTATCAGGTCTTTGTATTTGCACAGTGACGGGAGCTGGGTCTATCCTTACATTAGATTACTAATTTAGCAGAAGGGAAAACAAGCCTGCAAAACTAAAGAATTGAGAGCTCGCCTAGAATCTTTCTGCTGCTTTTGGTTGCTGAGTTTGAGAATTGGTTACATTTAAGATAGTGCTAAGAGATAGAGGAGCGTAAGTCCTATAAACACAGAGAAAAAATAGTTTTATGATTAAGACACACGAAAGATAACTGATTCTTATCTCTGCCACAGTGTTCATGAACAAGTCATGCAATGTTTCTGCTCCTTTTGTAAAACAGAAATAGTATTCATTACCTTAGAGATACTGGGAAGCATAACTGTCTTCAGGGCAGCCAGACTTTCCGTACAGTAGCAGATGCCAGCACATGGTGATCACCAGGCAGTATCCATGGCGTTAAGTCACAGAAGCTTTTACTTCAGGATTCTCTACTACTGAGAACATGTTTGCTTGCTACTTATCACTTGACCTTTAAGACAATGTAAGTTAGCAAAGAGGTGAAGGTGACAGAGAAAACCCTTTAATAGCCTCGGGTTTAATTTTGCAAAAACGTGTTGTTTGAGTAGAGCTACAGGATAGTAAGACAGATTAAATGAAAACCAAATCTGAGGCCAGAAAC